ATGGACTTAATGTTGGCCCCCCACCCTGCAAATTCATAGGCTGAAGCCCTGATCCCCAGTGGGATGGTATGTGGAGGTAAGACATTTGGGATCATGATCCTGACACCAATTCCCACTGGTGGATTTTCTGACAGCACGAAGCGACGCTCCGAAAGCAGCTGGGTGACCTACAATGATACTCAATTCTGATACATCTACCTGGAGACAGTACAGGATCCCACCGGTGAAGGCCTCAGCCTACGAGACTGCTCCTCTCACTGTGAGGTGCCAACGGCAAGCCGGGCTTGTCGCCTCTGCTTCTGGCCAAGCTGCTATAGATCAGATGTCCCCGGGACCCCCTCTCTTGGGTTCCATTAATCTGCTAGTGGCTCCCAGAGCTCAGAGAAGCAGTTTACTGACTGCTCACCGGTTTATTACAAAAGGCTTATAACAAAGGATGCAGAGCGACCTCACACGAAACAGATGCAGAGGGTAAGTTGTAGGGAAAAGGTGTGCAGGTTCCAGGCAACATTCTCCAGGCACGTCCAAGAGTTCACCAGCCTACGAGCTCTCTGAGCCCCGTCCTTTCGGGCTTTTTACGGAGGCTTCATCACACAGGCATGATTGATTAAATCACTGAGCCCTGGGGACTGACTCAACTTCCAAACTTCCCCCCAGATCAGGGGTGGGACTAGAAGTTCCAATCCTCTAGTCACAGGGCTGGCAACGAACCACCATCTCTACGTGCATTCCGAAAGTCACCTCCTCAAGGCAGTGTAAGAGCTCTTTATCTTGCTCTTCACTCACGGTCCTACGTGTAATATACAACTCACGTGACAAGCACCATAACATACCTACGTACTAACGTGGCGTGGAGGGATAGGATATATTAATAAAAAAATTAACTAGATTCAGATGACGTCATGATGGACCCCTCATGATGGGATTATGGACTTTAAAATAATAGGAATCAGAGTCCCCAGCCCCACCCACGAGGACACAGAGACAAACGGCCACCTCTGAACGGTGAGAGGTAACTGCCTGCTGGTCAAGCCCCCCAGTCTGTGATAGTTGTTACAGCACCCTGGCACATTGACGTACTCAGCATCTCTCATCTGCAACGTCTGAAATGAACTTAAAAGTCTCTGAAATTGCCAGTCCACTATCCTTAAGACTCACTTAAGAGATCGTGGGTGCTTAAGGTTTTATTATTGTGTGCTTAGCCTTATCGAATAGAAAAAAAATATACATATATATATAAGTAGAGATTCTTTATGCGTATGTGCACATCCATGAGGAATAAAGCATGAACGTATACGTTGCATATACATATATATGCAAAAGTATGCATACTTCGATGCATGCCCTCCACCCCTGCACCATTAAGCCTGAAGCCACTCCCCTGCAAGTGCTCCAGCTAAAGGAAGGTTGAGCAATGCAAGGAACCCTTGCCGTCAGAGAGAGCACCATGGGCTCTCCGAACTCTCCGCAAAGCCTGACTGGTCCTGCCAGCGGCGTCCTCGAGGGTCCCTCAGGGCTGGCCCGCACACATCCCTCTGAGACCCAGCCCTGGCAAGTAGCTGGTGCAGGGCTCCACACGGGCCCCCTGCGGGAAGGGCGCCTTCCATCAGCCTCAAGGCCTCTGGGCCCGGTTGCAGCTAGGGCTGCTCAGGGGGACTGCAGAGCTGAGTCTGCCCCCCAAGCTTACAGCTCATAGCTGGGGCTACAAGCAGCTTTCCAAATACAATCCAGAAAGCAAACACATGGGCACAAAAACCAACAGAACAAGATAAAGAAGCTGAAGGAAGCTAAGGCATCTATTTTTATTTTACAATGAATGGCACGTCTGAGTTTATTCATTGAGTGGGAAAGGATCCTGTTTTTAAATCTGTACAATCAGTTGTGAGCGTGTTTTTGATACCACTGTATCAGAGTTTCCTGGATCGTCTGCTGCGTTTTTAAGTTGTCAGAAAAAGTAAGCCATCATCCCACGGGGAAAACACAATTGCGCAAAAATAAATTGTACTTCGTGTAAGGAAATCCATCCTCCCTCTCCACAGAAGCTTTGACTGTTTCTTTCACTGTTAGGAGAATTAACAAAAGTTAAAGCGCATCTCGTTACTTGCATGGAAACCACTTCAACTGTGAATACGTTTCCTGTATTTTCCCAATCTAGTTTATTGCAAAAAAAAAAAAAAAAAAAAAGCATGACAGTTCTTACCGTTTATTTGGATTTTGCTTTTCTAACACAAAGCGGTGTCTCCCATCATGTTTCTGAAGAGTGTGAAAAACAAGACTTAAAAAATGATGGGACGCCTGGGTGGCTCAGTGGTCGAGCATCTGCCTTCGACTCAGGGCGTGACCCTGGGGTCCCGGGATCGAGTCCCGCATCGGGCTCCCCGCAGGAGGCCTGCTTCTCCCTCTGCCTGTGTCTCTGCCCCTCTCTCTGTCTCTTATGAGTAAATAAATAAAACTTTTTAAAAAAATTATTGAGACCATGTTTTCAGGTCTGTAGAGAGAAGTCCACAAGAGTCCCCAATGAATCTCTTTTGCAATCGCACTGTCAGGTCAGAGGAGGTGAAGGGGAAACTCCCAGCTGGCACCTCGCTCCCTATAGGTGAACAAACTGGACTGTCTGCCAAGAGCCATGCCCAGAGCCACAGGGGCTGGAACAGGGCAAGGGACACACTCCACAAGTCTCCGTCCTAGGTTGTGTGACACCTTCCTCACCTGCGTTTATGTGTTGGTTTATTTTTCCAGCGAATCTGCAGAAATCCAGACAACTCCTGAAACTCTTTCTAAGGAGCCAACAACCCGGGACAAGGAGATCAACCATAACATCTAGGTTATCCCCTGCAGTTCTGAATGCTTACTCCTGGCCCTGGGGGCTTTCTGCCCTTTTATCTAAGGAATCAAGACAAGTGCAGTGTTGTTACAGTGGAAGGGGAAAAACATCCCCATCTGTCTCCAGACACTGTAGAGAAACCGAGGAGGAGAATTCTATAGGCTGCAGCAGGTGCGCACTGGCATCTGTAAGGACCCCACCAATCATCTTAGAACAAATCTGCTATGTGCCCAATTGTGTCCCTCTCCCAATATATAGTGCTCTCTGCTAACTCCTAGGTAGCTCAGGTGACTTGATTTAAAGATCAAGTCTTCACACAGGGAATCAGATTAAAACGTGGTCATTACAGTCAGTGATTTACTGGAGTCCTACAAAGAGAAGAAAACTTGGATGCAGAAATAGACCCACAGAGGGGCGCCTGGGTGGCTCAGTGGTTGAGCATCTGCCTTCAGCTCAGGGCGTGACCCCGGGGTCAAGGGATCGAGTGCCGCATGGGGCTCCTTGCCTGGAGCCTGCTTGTCCTCTGCCTCTCTCTGTGTGTCTCTCATGAATAAATAAAATCTTAAAAGAAACAGACTCGTAGAGAGAAGGTAATATAAAGAGCTAAGGTAAGAAGGCCACATACAAGCAAGGAGACAGGCCTGGAACAATCCCGTCGTCCCAGCCCTCGGGAAGCATTAACCCTGATGGCTCCTTGTTCTCCAACTTCTGGCTTCCAGAACTGTAAACCCAGCATATCTGTGATGCAAGCCACGCAGTCTGTGCAACTGTGTCACAGCAGCCGAGCACGCTGGGGTCACAGTCCCCTCACTAATCCGCTGATACACTGCCTTCCCTGAGGTCCTCAAACAGAAATCATCATTGCATTTTGTCACAGAAGAGCTCCAAAGACATCAGTTACCTGAACCTGTACTATGTGCCAGGACTAAGAGCTTGACCTGCGCTGCCTCCACATTTGACACAAAAGGAAACTGAGGCACAGGGGTTCGACGCCTATTATTTTGCTGCCCTTGCAGCATCCAAGCTGCGCCCACTGTGGTTTTTGCATTTTGTCAGAAATACACCCTCACGGTGTGAAATAAGCTTCTGGAGTTTTCTCCCATCACCTTCTTTAAAGTCGGTGTATCCTTACGCTTAAACATGCATATGCAACATCGACGCACACTACACAGAAACGGAGACCAAAAAAAGGTGTTTTTGGGCACACCTGGGTGCCTCAGTGGGTGAAGCATCTGCCTTCTGCTGAGCCCAGGATGTCAGGGTGCTGGGATGCAGCTCTGCATGAGGCTCCCTGCTCTGGGGCAAGTTTGTTGTCCCTCTGTTCCTCGCCTGCACTCATGCTCTGTCTCAAATACATAAAATATATATTTTTTCCCAAATACATAAAATCTTTAAAAAAAGTTTTTGAGAGCAGCCAAGAAAAAAGAAAAATTCAGAGTGCATGCAGAAAAGAGCTGAAAAAGAAGGAAGCTGGGCGGCAGGGAGGCAGATGAGGCGGCCAGGCAGGTGGAGCCTCTGCAGCCCGGGATGCTCGCGGGGGACCCGGCAGCCCGGGCCGCGGACCCTCCGAGAGGCCCCCTGCGCATGCGCGCGGCCAGCCCCGCGGGGGCGGCGGGCCCGCGAAACCGAAAGGGAAAGCAGCGAGGGTCCCGGGACCGCAGCCCCGGCCCGGCGCATGCCCCGGCCCCTGGGCTCCCGCTTGCAGCCTGGCTGCCGGGGATGCCGACCTGAGCACCTTGGCCCCTCGGTGGGAAGCAGCCGGTGCACGGGCCGGCCGAGGAGGAAGCCTCGCACTCCTCCGTGCGTCCCGCCCCAGGGTCAAGTTGTGCATGTGCCGCCGCCGGGACCGGGACGTCCGCTGTGCGTGGGGAGCGCGGTGCCTGCGGGCAGACGGGGGCCCGCGCGGGGCCGCATGCGCACTCGGCGGCGGCGGCGGCGGCGGCGGCGGCGGCGGAGGGGACCGTGCGAGACGCGCCCGCCCGCAGAGCGGAGCGCGCGTGCGCGTGCGCGGCTCTCGAGAGACGCTCCCGCGGCGCGCGTGCGCAAGGCGGCTCGGGATCCGCGGGGCGGCGCGGGGCGCGCGTGCACGGCGGGCGGCGCGCGTGCGCAGAGGCGGCGCGGGCGGCGCGCGCAGCCCCCCCCCGAGCGCGCGGCCGTGTCCCCAGCGTGCGCGCGCCCGCGTCCGCCGGCGCCATGGCGGCCTCCGGGGCCCCGCCGCGGCCCGCCACTCACCTGCTCTTCGACATGGACGGCCTCCTGCTCGGTGCGTAGCCTGCGGCCGCCGCGCGCCACTCTGCCCGGGGACGCCGCGCGGCTCGGCTCGGCGCGGCGGGGCGGCGTCCGGGACCCCCGCGGCCGGCGGCGAGTGGCGGGGGCGCGCGGGGCGCTGGCGTCGGCGCCGCCCGGGGCAGCACTTCCGGCGGCCGCGCCGCGCGTGGGGACGGCTGCGGGGGGGCGGGGGGCGGGCGGCGGCGCTCAGGGGCCGCGGCGGACTCAGTTTCCCGCCCCTGGCCGCGCCGCGCACGCAGCCGGCTCGCGGCCTCCTACGCGGCGGGGGCCGGGGTCGTGACCTCGCCGCCGGGGGCGCTGCTGCGGGCGGGGGGAGGGGGCTGCGGCTGGACGGGCCTGGACCCCGGGGCCGGAGGCTTGGGATCGGGGGCTCCGGCTGCCCTGCAAGGAAGGGGCTTGGACGGAGGGGCTCGCGGATGCACCCTGCAGGGCCGCACCCCTCCCGCCCCCCAGCGCCCCGGCTCAGGCCCCACTGTTGACCCAAGTGCAGGACGGTTGGGACCTGAGGCTCCGGCCGCCCCTGCACAGGAAGGGGCTGGACAGATGCAGATTGCAGGGCCTCACCCCTCCCCGCCCCCCCAGCGCCCCGGCTCAGGCCGCACTCTTGACCCAGGTGCTGGAGAGTTGGGACCTGAAGCTGAGAGTTGGTACTTGGAACCTGAAGCTCCGGCTGCCCCTGCACAGGGAGGGGCTTGCGGATGCCCACTGCAGGGCCGCACCCCTCCCCGCCCCTCCAGCGCCCCGGCTCAGGCCCCACTGTTGACCCAAGTGCAGGACGGTTGGGACCTGAGGCTCCGGCTGCCCCTGCACAGGAAAGGGCTGGGCGGATGCACATGGCGGGGCCGCACCCCTCCCCGCCCCCCAGCGCCCCGGCTCAGGCCGCACTCTTGACCCAGGTGCTGGAGAGTTGGGACCTGAAACTTGGCACTTGGAACCTGATACTCCGGCTGCCTCTGCACAGGAAGGGGCTGGGCGGATGCACATTGCGGGGCTGCACCCCTCCCCACTCTCCAGCGCCCTGGATCAGGCTGCACTCAGTGACCCAAGTGCAGAAAGGTTGGGACCTGAGGCTAGGGCTGCTCCTGCGCTTGCAGAGAGGGGCTTGCGGATGCACATTGCGGAGGCCGCACCCCTCCACACCCCCGGCTCAGGCTGCACTCTTCACCCAAGTGCAGGAGGGTTGGGGACCTGAGGCTTCGGCTGCCCCTGCAGAGGGACGGGCTGGGCGGATGCACACTGCGGGGGGGGGGGTGTGCACCCCCCCGACCCCCCAGTGCCCCGGCTCAGGCCGCACACTTGACCCAATTGCACGGAGAGTTCGGACCTGAGGCTGGGGCTGCCCCTGCACAGGAAGGGGCTGGGCGGATGCACATTGCGGGGCCACACCTGTCCCTGCCCGGGCTCAGGCCGCACTCTTGACCCAAGTGCAGGAGAGTTGAGGAAGCAGGCTGAGCCTGCCGTGGACCCCAGGGACTCTGGGTCCTTGCACTGCTGCTCCCTGCGCCGCCCCTGTGCAGGATCACAGCCAAGAAGAGTTGAAGCAGAATGACGCTCAGTACACGAATCAACACGGAACCCACCAGAGTGCTGCCCAAACCCTGCGCACCGCGCTTCATGGCTTCATCCTCTTACAGGGTTCCGACCTCAGAGCCTCCGGAAGGCCTTGTAGAACTCTGAAAACGCCTGTGTTTTTTGCGGACGCCCCTGACCCACTGGAGACTTTTATTCCTCTACTGCCTCATGCCTTAAAACCCTGCAGAGGATGAGGAAGTATTTGCATTGCAATGAGAAAACAGTGCTGCAGCTCAGAGAGGTTAAGTCACCTGCCCAAGGTCGCACAGCTCAGGAACAGAGCTGAAGAGTGACTGCACATCGATTGGATCCTAAATATAGATGACGTGTTCCTCTTTCCTGCTGAGGGTGACCTTGCCCCCTGCTAGGTGGTTTGCTAGTAATAACACTTTTTTTTTTTAAGATTGTATTTATATGTTCATGACAGACCAAGAGAGACAGACACGGGCAAACGGAGAAGCAGGTTCCCTGCGGGGAGCCCCATGCAGTGACTCGCACCCAGGCCCCCCCTGGATCAGGACCAGAGCCAAAGGCAGATGCTCAACCACGGAGCCACCTGGGTGTCCCAGTTACTTTATAAACCCAGAGATAGATGAATACCTAAGGAAGGAAAAAAAAAAAATTAAATCTCTGTAGAGGTCACTAATTGCAAGAAGCGGTGTATGCAGGTACTAAATCTGAATGGACTCAATTTCAGAAACCTCTTGGGATGGATAAGTATGGTTTGTAGACATGAATGTTCCTGCTCAGGTGGTCAGGAAGTTAATTGTCAAAGAAACTCCTTCCCCTCTCGGGAAGGGTCCATAGAACTTGTAGTGGGTGTCTCATGAATATGGATGCAAACTCCGAAGTCTCATTAAAATTAAATGTATTAAACTTCCAAATGAGGTGGACTCTTAGTTCTGAGTACCAGATTCAGACACAGCTGTTCCCTGAAGCCTGAATGTGGCGTACGTGACCTGGTTCCGGCAGGGGCAGTTACTCGCTGGGGGCTCAACTCACTAGCTAAGGCCAGATTAATAGTTTAGCCCCTGGCGCTGTTACCCAATCCTTTGAAATGGTCAGAGAACCAAGAGTTCGTGCCATTTGGGAAGATATACTCCTTATTTTCTGCCCTGTTTTCTCCTTTCACGCTTCTCCGAGGTAGTAAGGCTTTGCAGAACTTTCTCGGAAGTGCGCTTATCCCATTCTTTCACAGGATGTTTTGTATAAAACACCGCTTTCCAAAACATGCTGCTTTTTCTCAGTCGGTCTATCCTGCTGCTACCCTGCTGTAGCTCTGCAGCACCTGACTTCATTCCCTGTATCTGCTGTGTGCAGAACACTCCGCCATGCATTCATGATGAGTCCTCCTGCAGTAGGTAGGAGTTTGAGAATTGTGAATTCTGGAAGTTCCATTTGTCAGCGTCACCCCCAGGACTGGTGTTCTCAGGGCAGTGAAAATCGAAAACAATTAGTTTCATGGGGGAAGGCTTCTATTCAGGAGAAGCTCCTTTAAGCAGACGGGAATGAGGAAGTAAATGGAGATTTCTGCAGAAACATTGATGACGCCAGAGCACTTTCCAGTACATTTCCAGTTTGAAATGTATGAGGCTGCCGTCCTTCCAAATAGGAAAGACGCTCTCGGATTCTGTTTTTGTCGGTGGGGTAACGATCCACTACAATCAATCAGGTTACGATTTTGGCTCTCAGATGCCATGTAGAGAAAGAGAAAAGGGGACTGGGATTGTTTGTGAACCAGGACGAGATATTTTCGAAGGTAGAAGATGACAGCGATTCCAGAGTCTCGGCTTCTGGATAGGGAAGATTGTCTAGTTTGCAAAATAACTGAAATTAGGAGCACAAGGGGTGGGCCCATTCTCTTTAAGACACAGGAAGTCTGCTGTGCGGAGCCATGCTGGCTAATAGAGATGGGACTGCATAAAATGTTGCACAGCACCACTGAAAAAGCAAAAAGGTACAGATGAAACCAACTTTTTTTCCCTATCCTGACACATCTAAAATATGTCCCTCCTTACATCAATGTAAAAGTCTCCAAGATCTATGACCTTCATTTTTGAGGCCTAGTCCCTGAAATTCGTGGGTATTTTACGTGTACAAGCAGGTCTCAGCTCGAGCCAGCCACATTTCAAGTGGACAGTAGCCTCGTTGGGTGAATGAATGCCTGTCGTACTGGACAGTCCAATGTAGGGCTTTAGGAAGAAACCCGTGTGTCTGTTATCGATAACGGGGCCCAGCGGACGGTGGACGTTAAGAATATTGAGACTACCGGGATATGTAAAATGCAGTGCACATAAAATGTATATTCGAGGCGTCCAATTTTTTAACATCCATAAAAAATTACCAAAGGAAACTAAGCTTATTTTTAAATTCTTAAAAATCAGAAAATAACAAGAGAGGTATCGCGTGAGGACACAAGAAGAATATTCGCAACTGTTAATTATAATTTACCCTCTGTTCTCAATGTAGTAGAATAGATGACCTACGTTGGTCTTCTTTGTGCTCCCTCAGTTTCTCATCGGCCAGATAATAGCACCCGAGACTGCTGGGAGGTGCCTGTTTGCCTGGGGCCCAGGATACCCTGTAAGCTCCCGGAGGGGCAGGAGCTTTGTGGTGCTCACTGAGCTCAGGAAGTTGCTGCTTGAGTCGACTGGTTCCGCGTCATGCCCGGGCTGTGGTCAGAATCCTTGTGATACCATGGTCCTCTTGTTCACCTTGTCTAGGCCATTTTTCCACCCTGGAGCATCCGTGAAGCTGATGACAAAAATGGAATTTCCTTATAGAATGTTAGGGCTTGCTCCACATTAATTTTCACAGTAACCAAAGCACGTGGTCATCTGACCCCCCACGTGACGTATGAGAATTTTTCTAAGCACAGACGAGGAGCTTTTCATCTGCATTGGTTTTCGTGTGCATTGGTTCTTCTGACTGTCCCCCTATCCCTACACTCCCAGGGTCCTGGGAGCATCTCAGGAAGGTAGAGCAGAGTGAAGGATTGTTGCGGTACGTCTGAATGTGGTTACCGCCTGCCCCGAGAGCTGGCCGAGATCCCCCTCGGCGTGAGATGATCATCGCCTGCCTGCTCTACGTCTTGGAAACCCCTTTGTTGTGAGCGCTGGGGTCTCCGTGCCAGATGCCAGGGCAGCCTTGCTGTGGTGCATTCACATTCTTTTCTACCCTGCTACCCCGGGAGCTAACAGCACGTGCTTGGGTTTGAGCTCAGCTTGCTAGGTGACACTTAAGTTCCTTCCACCTTTGCAAAGACATCTGCTGGAATTTGGAGGCCAGTCGGAGGCCTGCTGGTGGAAGAGAGCCCCCACTGCAGGCGGCCCTCAGTCCGACTTTCTCCGTTTGGAGTAACGTGCTGCTGGGGGCCTGGGGAAGGCCCCTCCAGGAGGAAGG